CAATGAAGGCCGGGTTCGGACGCCTTTCCAACAGCAACACAATCGGCCGCAAAGTGTTTGGGTTATGGAAGTGAGCTCTTAGAGGCACAATGAAGTTGTAGATACCATTACTCGCGTAATCGGCCGCCAGTATTATACACCGGGTTTGTTGCCAGTTGTAGTCCCGGGCGTGAAGGTATGGACAGTGATCGCACTGCTATTACAGTTTATATACAGTTTAGCAGATTATTCTGTTGTAAGGGAGGGGTAGAGTGCGGGCATACCTGTGATATTTGTAGACAACACGGAGGCTTCTTGTCCTTAACTAAATAGCAGAGCGTAGGACTGACCCCGACGTACGGCGAGACCGGAGGAAAACCTTTCACAATGCTATTCACAGTTATAATAATTTTTAGATGTATTTTTTAGAAAAGAGGATTAATATAAAGTATTATAACAAACACTAATAATTATGGTATAAATTTACAGTATTGTAAATCAATAACATTAAATTTTAATAAATAAATATAAAATAAACAGGTAATTATTTTATTCACTAAATCTAAACTTAAACATTAAGTTTGACTCTTTTTTTGTTCATTAATTTTCGTTAACTTTTCTCACATGAATTAATGTTACTTTTGTTTTGTCTATTTTTGTGATTTATGAAATTTGGTGTTTATTTTAAACTAAAAATAATTAAAATCGTTTATCATTAATCAAAACCTATTATTCTGATGGCAATAAATAATACATTGCTTAATATCTGTTGAAAACATGTAGTTTTCTGTTGTTTTGAAATAAAACTTAATTTTTAAATATTATTAAATATTTCAGTCAGAAATAAAGTTATATTTAAATTATTTATAGCAAAATTAAAAGTCATAAACAGATTTGCATTGATATACATGTTTATGTATAACAGTATACAAGAACTCAATTTCCATTCATTCCTCATATCCTTGAGATGTATTTAAAACAGCAAAAAATAGTAATCATTTCATTTGAAAAGTGAATAAACAATGAGAGACTGTATTAATAAGTAAATATCAATTTGTTTAATGCACTTAAGGCCTGTAAATGTCATAACCTTTCCGTAAACTTAAACAATTCATTCACTCCGTAAATGTCTGTCAAAATGCTTAATGCATTTTTCAAAGCGCACTATAAAACACATACACAAGTATTCTCGACCTCCTATTGAGTGAACAAATGTTAAAAGCCATCACTTTGTAAGCAAAGAAATAGAGGAAATATGCAAAAGTAAATGATGGTAAAAACTACTCACTCGGATGACTCTGCCGGTGCATTCCAGGGTATATCCAAATACTTTTCCTGTTCGTGTTCGCTGTCGCGGTCACTGTCCGAGTCCTTGTCGCCCAACATCGCCGGCACCGGCGCTATACTGGGCCGCCGACCTCTGGCCGCCACCACATCATTGGTTTTGGCGGTGGGAGAGGCGGGACTCCCGAACTCAATCTTAGGCACTTCGAGGTGACCGCACTGACGGCCACCAGTGGTCACGCGTTTCACTTTGACGGCAAACTCTGTGACCGCGCGCTTGAGTCGCGTCGGCGACGAATCCCTTCGGATTTTAGTGCCAGAAAGCGTCGAATCCGATGAGAATATGTTTGAGCTCTTCCGGCGAACGCTCGACAGGAACGACATCTCGACCTTCTCTTTGGTTTCGCGGGGAATCTGAATGCGATTATAGGTAGGAGTGGTCGCCGACTCCGTGTCCACCGGTTTGACGGCCTCTCCATTGTTGCCGCTGTCGCCACTGCCGGACGCGCCCGACGTGTGACCGGTCGCCGGCAGAAACGCCGAGTTCTCCTCTTTGGTTATATTCATGTAAAAACAAATGTCCGATATTTTGAGCACATATGAAGGCCCGGGATTCAACATTATAGGCCACGTGCCTCTCATATCCGTTTGGATGCCTATTAACGCTACACCGTATCTGATAAACAAGACAAACATTTTTT